GCCTAAACCACCTCAACTGACTCCTTTGAACATGAGGGAGCAGCAGCTGTACTCTGAGATCCCTCTGGATGTCCGAGCTCCTCACTTTACTTCTGAACCCCGAGCCCAGGCACCCTACGGAGGAAATTAATTTCGGCCACTTGTACCCGCGACCTCATTCTTTCAGTCACTACACAGAGCTCATGACCATAGGAGTGTGTTAGAACGTAGGTCGGCTGCTAAATCGAGAGCTTTGCCTTCTGGCTCAGCTTCCTCTTCACCACGACGCTCTGGAACAATGTCCAAATTCCTGGTAATGTTGCATCGGTCTGTCTGTCAGTCTCACGCTCCATTACCCCGTCACTCATGAACAAGATCCTGAGATATTTAAACTCAATTACTTGGGGCAGCAACCCAGACACAACAACCCGCCAGTTTCCAGCTGAGAACCACGTAGAACATTGTTGGAAATATCATCTGTAGCCTTGTAGTCACATTGCCAGCAGGCGTCAACATAAAATTGGTGTAAATATCAAATTACGAGTTAAGTGTCTGTGTATAAAGTCCGTTAGGGAATCATTGTGGTCAAAGAGCTCAGTTTCAACTACATCCATCAACAGCAGTTGTCTCAAAACACTCCAGATGATATGATCCAGATGTTGCTTTGCAGACTTCACATCCTGACCTCTGTGATGAGGTTTGACGTGACGTTTCCATACAGGAGCCACTGCTTGACGCTCAGTCACTCCTGTGTCAGCTGTCGAGCTTCACCTCAGCAATAATGGCAGTTTTGCTTTATCTTTCTGCCCCTGTTGATGTGCCCTTTAATCTAAAAGTGTTCTCGTTCTTCCAGATCTTGTCAGGACTCCCACAGTTCTCCCCAACTCCCATTTCTTAATTACACTTCAAGCAGTGAAAATTGCAAGCTGGAGGTGCTTTAATATCTTCAGATGAAACTTAGTGAAACTTTAATCGGGAGGACTATCTCTCGCTTATCACGCTCACGTTAGAAAAAAATAAAATAAAATCTCCCTCGTACTTTCTTGCAAATTCAGTCAACCAATAGCTGAGCGACTAGGGCTTATAACACATGGGGGGAAATGCCTCGTTCGATTCCTTCAACGTGCCGTTCCCCTGCTTCCTTTCCTCATATTACGTCTACTTCCACTGTGTCCATTATAAAAAGGGCAAAAATGTCAGTCTTTAAAAAAATGGCGTGTAAGTTTCAAGAAACGATGTTGCCAAGGCATCCAAACATCAATCCAAATATGTGGACGGTATACAGTTATACTAATATGAACCTTAATACAACATGAAGACTGATCTATGCTAATGATATAGGAACAGTGTTCTTATATGGGCACAATCGATAAGTTCTGACACTGTTCCTGTTGCAGGTACACAGAGAAAGGAATGACCACTGATGAAGAAAGTCATTTTCTTTTTATTTTGATGGTCAAAGACCCCTGAATTCATTCCCTGTTGCCATGTGTTTTCCTACCTCCTGCCACAGACCCCCGATTCCACCCCCTGTTGTTCATTGTCCCCTTACCTCCTGTCATTTGATTAGCAAATGTACGCTATCAGAACCCCGACTCCACCACCGGCCTGGTCACCAGACTCCGATTTCATCACCTGTGATTCACTGTCCCCCCTTACCTCCGGTCATTTGATTAGCAACTGTATGTTAATTTACCTCTATTCACTTCTGTATAGGGCCCCCCCTACCCTCTGACTTGCCCTATAAATGTGTGACTCTGCAGATGTTCAGGGTCGGTCCACCTTCACAGACTCATGCTCTGTGTTGGTGAGCCCACCGTATACCGGAATACTAATAAACACCCACCACAGCAAACTTCACATGAGGACTATGAGTAAAATTTCTTCAACACCACGCATGGGCTGAACATGCAAAAAGCATCTTTCATAAGTCAAGATTTTGCACAATATGGCACAATCGCAATGAAAGGGGCTCAAATAGGACAAGAGAGGAAAACTCACAATCTCTGTCACACAATGAGGCAGCCTTCATGCCGTGGAGCATCGCTGGTGATGAGAGGGCGTCTGCAGCTACGACCCAGAGACCAAACGACGATCTTTACACTGGAGCAACTTCTCCAAAAATTGAAGGAGTTCCATCGGGTCAGAAGCGCACCAACAGCACGCTGCTCATCGTTTTTGACGTTAATGTGTTTGTGCACCAGGAATTCATCCATCAGGGTCAGACTGTCAATACAGAGATCTACTGTAGCATCCTCAGGTGTCTGAGGGAGAACACTTTGGCCACAACATCATAATAATAACCGCTACCCACACACTTCCTTATGGCTTCCTCCTCCGAAATACAATTTAAGTTGAAGGGTTGCTGTTTTGACACACTGACGCTGAGTCAGCTGATGCAACACATATATTCAGTTTCGTCTTTCTTCTTTATCAATTTCCAGTTTGTGGCCACTGAGCCTGGTTGGGATCTGTCTCTGCTTTTTTATCTCTGACAGTAGAGAGCCATCCTGCCAATTTATAGTCTCATTTCAGGGCCAGATTCTAACCTGGCTTCTATTCTTTTCTTTTTTTAATCTTTCCAGTGATCCAAATAGGTTTCTTTACACTTAATTATAATGTGGCTTATTCTGATTGGTGTTTGGGAATCAGTGTTGCTGTGGGACTGTTCACAGTGTGTTTCCCTCTGAGAGAGGCCAGTTAGTCTCTGCACCAGTTGACATAAGGGACTCATTTCTGGGCTCAGCTCTTGGGTTTGGAGAGCTTTGGAGCTTTGGGGCTGAGTTTAAGGTGATTAAAAAATGTGAGTAGCTCTTTTGAATGTTAATTATCAGCGGGTATCTGCCTGGTTCTGCGCTCACTGGCGCTCTTCTCTCCACATGTGAATTGTAGCTTGCATGTAAAGATTCTACTGGGTGTTTAAAATGGACAAAGACGTATTGACTGAGCGGACACCACACTTCACTGCCATGCTGTGCAGTGAGCTGAAAGACAGCATCCAATAGTTTAAGCCTGGATTTAATTGGAATTTGGAAACCGGAACATTTTCTCCTCGCCTCATTTTCTTTTAGTGTGTTGCCGTCATGTTAAATCAAGGTGGGCAACTAATGTTTAATGACAGACCTATTTATGGTGAACTTATTTTTGTTCTGTTGATGACTTTTGAAAAATCACAACATTAGTTTTCTCCATATTTAGCGCCAGAGCCCAGTTCTGACGGGACTTTTCCTCTTCATCCAGCATAAAACAGAGACGTCACCTCTCTCCATACAGAAGGCCGGAAGAAGCGTCTCATTGGTCCGACTAAACGAACTCCATTAATACTCACGTTAAATAAAGTCGGACTTAAATTGCAGCCCCGATCAACGCCCCTTCTCGGGATGAAGAATCTAGTTTGTGTACCTCCAATTTGAACAGCACAGCTATTTTCCAAATAGCTCGATTTAATCAAAAACTTACATCTTAGCCTTTATACCTCAATTTATAAGTCTGTAATGGAGCCGTTCAGGCCGGATAGAGTCGGAAGCTTCCTGGAAATCAATAAAACATGCAAATGTCTGAGCATTTTCTGTTTGGTGTGCATGTTTGTTAATTAAAGTGTGATATACAGGGTCAGTGGTGCAGTGTTTTGGCAGGACGCCAGTTTGATTTTTTTTCGTCAAGATGGAGCGTTCATCAAAGGAGTTTTGTCTTCTCTCATTTAGAATACTACAGAATAATTTAGCGAGACAACTGCTGAGTCAGATGCCACAGTGGTGACTAGAGTCGGATTTGTTCTCACTCTTATATATGGGCAAAATAAATACTTTGCACCAGATGTAAGGAAAATATGTCGGTTGTTACACTATATTGACCAGTTTGAGCATCTGCGTCCTGTTGTCTGTTTTGGTCGACCCTTCCCAAGTATTTGGGAAGCTGCAGGAGTTTTGTTTGCCTTTAAATAGTTGTTCTAATGTTTGGG